AACGACAGAGACCAAGGGCCTATCATATACTGAGGAATTTGGCACTGTAATACGACAGAGAGACCAAGGGCCTATCATATACTGAGGAATTTGGCAATGAAAATGACATATGTAAAGTAATTTCATTTTATATACTATAACATCATTTTTGTGGGGATTTTATTTTCAATGATTTCATGATGAAATTCTTAATCTACAATTTTCATGTCTGAGAACTGCTAAAATAAGTTTAAGTAAACTTATTGAGTTGATTTATTTATCTGCAAAAGTGACTGGCCACAAAATAACATCTCTGTGAAAAACCACGAATAATGGAGACCTAAAAAAATTCTTATGATTTTACGGAATTTGATATCATCAAAAAAATACTCAGTGCCGAATCAATTAAAATCAATACAATATTCAATCATCACCTGCAAAATTGTCACCCCATCAGTCTCACAGATCCTCTCAATATTCTACATTTGTGACAAAATATTCGTAAACAAAATCAAATCTGTATGAAAAAACTAAATAGCATATGTTTGATATTCCAACCATCTGGTGCTGAATTGTTCCATCTTATGACTGTATTAACAATATAGCAGGCCTACATAATTAAATGGTGCTGTGTCCTGGAGCTTTCTGCACTAACACTTGATGTCAGTCACAGACACAATACTACATTAGATTTCTAATCATACATTGTCAACTACATTTACACTTGTATGATAACTGGTATAGAAGAAATGTCATTACTATAAATGAGAACGCTGTTTTATTGCTTGTTGAGAGTTTCCCTATTGGTGAAAATTGTGTTGGAAGTCTTTAACATAGGTTCAGGTGATTGGGGTGAACAGAGTCACAGAGAATTCTACAGAAATCATAATTCTGTTTCAGGAAACCTAGTTTTGAAATATATATGATATCATTTATCATGAAATCTACCAACAACACATCATTTTGAAAAGCTATAATCTTCCTGATGCAGAGGATCAAAAAAGAATATTCTTCTAAAAAAAAAATGATATCAAAAGATAACTAAGGATTCAAAAGTAGTCTGCTTGAATACAAAAGACCTTTCTCCCTTTCCCTTCAAAAAGCGATCTAAAATAAGTCAGTCTCTAAATAAGACATTAATCTCTACAAGAAGTCAATCACTGAAACTACACAGAAATCTCTACAATAAGTCAATCTCTGAAACTACACAGAAATCTCTACAATAAGTCAATCTCTGAAACTACACACAAATCTCTACAATAAGTCAATCTCTGAAACTACACAGAAATCTCTACAATAAGTCAATCTCTGAAACTACACACAAATCTCTACAATAAGTCAATCTCTGAAACTACACAGAAATCTCTACAATAAGTCAATCTCTGAAACTACACACAAATCTCTACAATAAGTCAATCTCTGAAACTACACAGAAATCTCTACAATAAGTCAATCTCTGAAACTACACAGAAATCTCTATGATAAGTCAATCTCTGAAACTACACAGAAATCTCTACAATAAGTCAATCTCTGAAACTACACAGAAATCTCTACAATAAGTCAATCTCTGAAACTACAGAGAAATCTCTACAATAAGTCAATCTCTGAAACTACACAGAAATCTCTACAATAAGTCAATCTATGAAACTACACAGAAATCTCTACAATAAGTCAATCTCTGAAATTACACAGAAATCTCTACAATAAGTCAATCTCTGAAACTACACAGAAATCTCTACAATAAGTCAATCTCTGAAACTACACAGAAATCTCTACAATAAGTCAATCTATGAAACTACACAGAAATCTCTACAATAGTCAATCTCTGAAACTACACAGAAATCTCTACAATAAGTCAATCTCTGAAACTACACAGAAATCTCTATGATAAGTCAATCTCTGAAACTACACAGAAATCTCTACATTAAGTCAATATCTGCAACTACACACAAATCTCTACAATAAGTCAATCTCTGAAACTACACAGAAATCTCTACAATAAGTCAATCTCTGAAACTACACAGAAATCTCTACAATAAGTCAATCCCTGAAACTACACAGAAATCTCTACGATAAGTCAATCTCTGAAACTACACAGAAATCTCTACAATAAGTCAATCTCTGAAATTACACAGAAATCTCTACAATAAGTCAATCTCTGAAACTACACAGAAATCTCTACAATAAGTCAATCTCTGAAACTACACAGAAATCTCTACAATAAGTCAATCTCTGAAACTACACAGAAATCTCTACAATAAGTCAATCTCTTAAACTACACAGAAATCTCTACAATAAGTCAATCTCTGAAACTACACAGAAATCTCTACAATAAGTCAATCTCTTAAACTACACATGAATGCCTGTAATAAGTCAATCTCTGAAACTACACATGAATGCCTGTAATAAGCCAATTAATTTCTACAATAAGTCAAACCATTTGAATAAAATATTTGGCTCAGGATTTAACAACAATAGGCCATTTAAGTTTACACAATACATAATCTCATTTCTTACACAGAATGTTATATTCCTATCCCTCTGTGCCTCACTGTTTAAAATACACATCATCATAAATATATAGATATATATATGACATTGCAACACAGCTAATAAAGGAAGACATTTTTTGACTGGTACCCTGTCCATGCCTTGAACTCACAAAATCTACTGTACCAAATCACCTAGCCAAGAAATTCTAGACCACCATCACATCCTTATTTATAGATACTGGATAAACTAAACTTTGTGATTTGGCCTATTTGTGTGATAACAGAAAAAGTATGATTATGGAGAACTTCTCTATAGTAAAGGGCATCACTACAGCATTAGTTTGATAACTGTATAAAGTTTCAAGTAACAAGAAAACGATCTTGCACAGATGGACGCATGGACCAAAAGACGCATGGACCCACGGACGCATGGACCCACAAACGCATGGACCAAAAGACGCATGGACCAAAAGACGCATGGACCCACGGACGCATGGACCCACAGATGAATGGACCCACAAACGCATGGACCAAAAGACGCATGGACCCACGGACGCATGGACCCACAAACGCATGGACCAAAAGACGCATGGACGCATGGACGCATGGACGCATGGACCCACAGATGCATGGACCCACAGATGCATGGACCCACCAACGCAGGGACAGACCTAATTGACATCCCCTGTAGACACATTTCATCAGGTAAAAAAACAAACAGATTATATGTGACACATACCCAACAAATCATACACTTATCCCTTGAACAAAATATGACATTCTTTGTAAATCAGCTCAAAATTTAAATTTCACATGATGTTCTAAAATAAGCCCACCCTTTAAATAACAGGCATTGCTAAAAGATAAAAATTTAAATTGCACACACTGCTCTACAATAAGCGAATCCCTTAATCAATGTGGTGCTGTTTAATACATTCAAAGTTTAAATTTCACAAGATGGTCTATAATTATAATTATGACGAAGTTCACACTTTAAGTAACCCATAATATACTCCACAATCGGGACATCAGCTATCTAAATAACACATGATGTTTGAAATATTTAGTTATCGGCAAACAACACCAAGCTTTGATCCTGGTAAGGATGATTTGTAACTGAGAAATACCCAACAGGCAAGATGGTATCTCAAAAAACCCATCCGTCATCATTTCATAGTAATCAAGTCAAATAAATGACAAACAAACAACACTTTTAAGAGAGCAACATTACATTTCCTAGAAGACAGATTGTGAAATGATGTGAACAGAGGTAAAACAAACACATCTGGAATTAACAACAAACACGTGCATATCCTTTAAATGATGCTGAGTTTATTTGACAAATGGCTGCCATGCAAGAATCATTACTCCAAGCGGAAAACAATAATCAGTGAAAAGGGCCATGTACTGTCCACAAACGAATCAGATAGTACAAGAAAAGCATTGTATCTGATGTTATACTAACATGTTGTAGTTATAGACTCATGAACAACAAAGATAGCTCATCTAACAGCTACCATATGAAATGTTAATGCAGCAGTTTTAACATTTAAAGAACCTAGAGAACCATTATGGTTCAACACAAAAAATTCCATTCATTAGGAAAACAAAATTAAATAAAAGACAGACTGCTGATATTTTCTGATATTTTGTAATCAAATCTTTCTTCCAAAATCCAAGGTTGTGCTGTGACCTAGGGTACAGCTGTCATAAAATATAACTGATCTCTCAGCTTGATCTTAGCAAACAAAGACTCCAAACCTTTTTTCTTAGAGAACCTTTCTGGATTTCATACAATAAATCCCCAACTGTGGCCTTGAGACTGGGTCAAAATCAACCACATGTAGAAAATTAGTAAGCCTTTGACCTTAGCATGCTACGATTTGCACCGATTCTAGAGCTTTTTGTTTTTATAGAAGAAGCTGATAGATGTTAAGATAAATGATGAAGATAACATCAATTGAAATTTGACCAAGATCATTCATGTGAATTTAGCAATTTCATATCTTTTTGTATCCCAGCATGCCTAGCCCAATATAATTACTTATAACAGACTTCTTAATTGTTATTGAGGAGATCCTTTAAAGACTAACATTTTGACCCCTCAGTCTTGATACTTGAGCTAGGTCTTTCTTTTGAACATGTCTGAAGGTCAAACATATTCTGACCCCTGAGCCTTGATACTGGAGCAAGGTCTTTCTTTTGAACATATCTGAAGGTCAAACACAATCTGACCCTTATAACAGAGATGTTGGATCACAGTCTTTCTTTTGAAGAAAGCTGATAAAACTAACACAATTTGACCTTTGTGACCATGACAGAGGATCAGGGTCTTCATCTTTAATAAACTTGATAATCTTTAATCCAAGCCTGCCACAGTGGTCTTAATTATATCATAGCCATGTATATGTTGTTTTTTTTTTTCAGGAAAAAATTGTTAAAAGGAAAAGTGGACAGACAGATTTCGAGATCTTCCTACTCTGTCATACATTATTGCTTTTCAATGGATGAGATAAAAGAAAAACCTACCTGATTGGTCCGCAACACAGCTGTTCCGGCGTTTAGTTCTGTCAACTCTTCTAAGACTCATTCTAGATCGTGATGAAAATAACGTTTTCTCATTTCCAGATGGAACTTCTGCTATTGATGTGGTAGGCTAAATGTAAAATAAAAAAAGCAATAAATTCAAACTGTTTTCCATTTAAACTGAGATTTCTTTTTGTCTATTCCACTAGAAACTTTTTTTATTACATAAAAACAAAATGTTGTAAGTCACAATTAAGCTTGAATATTTCAAGCCACAAAACTCAATAACAAGTAGGTTTTAAAAAGCAACCTTTGATATTCCCACATTGTCATGGTGACAGACAAAATATATGCTTATCCCTTTGGCTTTACAGTTAGAGTAGATAAGCTTTATACAAGAAACACACCAAACAGTATCAGAGTTATCTGCCCTTGTGAGAAGGAATTAATTGTTACATGATTATTTTGTGTGAGAAAATTACATCATTTTCTCATGACAACACTCTTGAAAACAAATGACAAAACAACTTTTCTGAAACTTGAATACTGTTTACAACAAGATTATCATATGTGGTAAGGTGTTAGTCAAATTAGTTATAATTATGTCTGTTATTAAATTAATGTTCATTTTGAATTATTTTATTGTTGATGCTGACAGATACATGCTCCACAACTCCATTTCATGTTAATTTACAATGAAAGCTTTCATCGTTCTCATATCAGAACCCCTAGTACAATGAATGTTGTCTTATATGTGTTCTTTCTTTACTAGGAAAACAAACAGCTTATTTTAATTAGATTGTTCTTCTTGTTTTCAATATTGTTGACAGGTTCAATTTTACTGAGTAATTACGAGGTGAGAAAGACTTATTGATGGTTCAAAAAAATCACTTATTGAGGTCATGAATGTTCTATCAATCATAAAAAGAAAAGGAAGATTTCAGAATTAATCAGGACCAAATCATTTGTTCCTCGACAATAAATTTAGTATTAAAATCAACAGGGTTTCGTGAAATATTTCTCAGAATTAATGAACGATAAATTGACATCATAATACCATTATGTAAAAAACAAACATTAAACGTAAACAATGTTACTAAGTGCCCATCATTGCTGAAATAATTACCGTACTTTAATACATTTTCAAATAGACCTGTCTTTCACAGACATTGTAAAACAACAAAAGCTGTGCGTCTTTTTAAATATATTGGTTCAATATTGTCTGCTTACTTAACGACCTTTAGTAGTTGTTTTTTTTTTTTACCTAAAACAAGACCTTTATGCACCACATAAAGTGAAATTGCTCCTGCAATATCGGTTCTTTGGATTTTTTTTCTCTGAAACCAAATATTAACTTTTTTATCTGACGTTGTCTGGTTCAAGAAATATTTGAATGTCCTATAATAAGCCCACCCTTTAACTGCTCCCTTGGGCTTACTGCGAGGATTAAAAAGGAAAAAAAATGATGATTAAGATGGCCATGTATCACAAAACACATACTACAATCAGCTACACAGAGAATTTCTGAAGCTTAGTCAGACAAACACAATGTAAAGATTGATCTTTCTGCTCCACATACTACATTTAAACACCACCCAAATATAGATGTGATATTTATCGACTATAAAGAATATTTGTCAACAGAATTATTGACACTTCAGTTTAATTACTTAGGCCGAGCTTGATCTGCAGAATTCACATGTTTCAGGTCAATAAGTTATGTCTGTGAAATTGACATAGCATCCGTCAGCTTGCATGCGGTCGCTGTCAATTTCTGGACAGGAAGCAGTTGATTGTGAGTACGAGGCTCTTAAGTATCTCTTGTGCTTTGATGTTAGACCTACAGATGACAGGACATGTTTTCAAATATGAATTCGCTTAATATAGATCTTAATATAGATTAATAGTTAATATGAGAATGAAAAGTCGGTTAGCTAAAAGCTGTTTCTCCGGAGATACCAAAGGCAACTTCCTGTGACGTCATCCATCTTTTCTGATGTCAATTTCCTTTCGAGTGTTTAAGGAGCTATAGAATGAAGATGTCGGCTATAGATTCCCCTAACACAGTAGGATTTATTCACACCTTTTGTATGAGTAATTACAGCTGATTACCACCTGTTAAGGCCATGTACTTGAAAAGGAGCTGTAAGCTTGAAGATCAAATTGCTAAATTGAACATCCCACAGGATAGACAGACAGACAGACGGACACAACACAAAACTATAGTCGGGTGGAGGACTAAATGTAATTCATAGGGTCTGGACAAGATAGCAGACAGACAGATGGACAGATGGACACAACGTAAAACTATGGTTAGGTGGAGGACTAAATGTTATTTATAGGGTCTGGACAAGATATCAGATAGACAGAAGGACAGACGGACACAAAGCAAAACTTCAGTCAGGTGGAGGACTAAATGTTATTTATAGGGTCTGGACAAGATATCAGATGGACAGAAGGACACAATGTAAAATTATAGTCAGGTGGAGGACTAAATGTTATTTATAGGGTCTGGACAAGATATCAGATGTACAGAAGGACAGACGGACACAACGCAAAACTTCAGTCAGGTGGCGGACTAAATGTAATTCATTTAAGTAACATAGCTTAGCTCAGATTGAATTTTATCATGAGCAGAGACTTTGGTGAGTGGGAGAAAAAGCCATTTAAACCAACTATTAAACCCTTGAGGTTTGAAGAAGTATATATCCAAATAATGTGTTATGTCAGATCTCGATCTAATTGGCACCTGAATTGCTTACATATTTCCCAACACATTGTAAGAACAAAATGATACAATTTTATTCAAAAACGATATGTTTTGATCTAAAAGTACTTCCAGCATATCAACTTTACACACAATCAGTTATTGGTATGCTTAAAATGTTGTAAATTTCTGATTTTAATTATTCACAATCTGTAGAAAATCGATGTCTAAAGTACATTTCGTTTACACGAACCAATGAATTAGTTGTTTGAGACCAAGCAGACATTGGCCTAGTTAATCAGAGGAAAATGTACTGTTACAGCAATATAAAAAGATTGTCTCGCTCAATCAAATTGAAATTCTATTTCCTGTCCTGACAAAATACAATTCAATTTGTTTCATTACGAACATTAACACTGAAAGAAGGCCTATCTGAAATATTCCAACTTCAGCATGAAAATATATCCTTCACACTTTGTATATTGCCAATTCCATGATAGAACGCAATAAATCGTGACTGATCGCGCGGTTTGTTTTGGCATAATTATCATATAAACAGATATCATATGAGCCTAGTTCACGTACTACAATTAACATGAAAATAATGATACCGTAATTCAAAACAGATAAACTATCAATATTATAAGCTCACACTCTCTGAAAGCATTATAAGCTTAATATTAGTTATTTTGGAAAGAAATGATGAAGTTCTTAAAATTGTTTATTTATTTATAATTCAATATTTCTTCTTAAATTTCATTCTTTAAGGAAAAAATCTCCATGATACAAATATATTATGAATGAAAGATTTGTATCCATGTATTTTTGACAAAGTTGAGATCTGTATGGACCTGCCCATGCATAGGTATGCTGCTTTTACCAAAATATTCTGATGGAACTTGTGGCAAGTCTCTGTATGATCAGTGAGGGAGCCACAAGGAAGCCACAAGGAAGCCATGAGGAAGCCACCAAACACTACTACAATGATACCCAACCTCAAAATGACCCTGGCTTTCACTAAACTTATCAACGCATATGCTGTAAAACAAATGAATATGTTTCGTTGCAGGCTCAAATGAGGTTTTTTTTTTTTTTTTTTCAAATGAATTTATTTATTCATGTGTATGAGAAATTAAGATTAGAGAAAATACCAACCTATCTGTGTGAAGAAAATCTCAATTCAAACATAAAATCTAGGAAACAAGGGCAAAACATGAAAATGGAAATATTTTTATGGAGTCATTTGAAAAAGTAAAAGAATATGTAATACCAGGTGTACCTAAAGGGTAAGCACCTTCTGTATCATCGACCACATCTGCGATGTAAGTTGTGTTCAATCCAAGCCAGTTGATCTATCAGGTATGTACACCCTCACAGAAATCATGGATTTGACAATTTGACACATACTTTGAATTTTCACTGATGCAAATTATTTCACTATGCAATCATGATTATTACAGAAAAAAGGCATGCATGTTACAAGAGGTGGGAGGCAGGGTAGGGTGATAGGCGAGGAGGGGTAAATGGCATGGAGGGTGGTAGGTGAAGAGGGGTGGAAGGTGAGGTGGTGTGAGTGGCATGGAGGGGTGATAGGTGAGGAGGAGTAGGAGGTGAGGAGGTGTGAGAGGCATGGAGGGGTGGTAGGTGAGGAGGGGTGGAAGGTGAGGTGGCGTGAGCGGCATGGAGGAGGGGTGATAGGTGATGAGGAGTAGGAGGTGAGGAGGTGTGAGAGGCATGGAGGGGTGGTAGGTCAAGAGGGGTGGAAGGTGAGGAGGTGTGAGTGGCATAGAGGGGTGGTAGGTGAGGAGTGGTAGGATGCAAGGAGGGGTGTAAAGATTATATGAAAATAATATTGGTTTATTTTTATATTTTTCTTTTCAAATATCCTATTAAAACCTATGACCATTTAAGGACAGAATCCTGGTGGCCAAGTGGTAAAGGTACTGGCCACAGGTCGGTGGTTTTTCTTGGGAGGGGGTGGGGGGAGAGGACACAGGGACTCAGGCTTTACTCTACCAGCCAAACCTGGCATATCCTTAATTGACCCTGACTGTTAGTAGGTCGTAAAGCAACAATAAAACAAACCTCTCAGTGAATGAATGTGTGATGAGTGCAATAAATTGTGATTTTAGAAAGCATTGATATGTTCCATGTAGTCTGTAACCTGGCCACCTTGTGATAGCTTCCACTCTGAGTTATATAACAAAAGAAACCCAGGAGGACACCACACCCAGTCACATTATACTGACAACGCACATATCAGTCATTTCACTATAACACTGCCGAGCATTTGGCAGGTTATTGGTAAATACTATTTCTAAGGGGCTCTGGTAACCAAAACCTGTTCTTGTAGGATCAATTGTTCAACTACAGGCCAATAACTCAAGGAAGTGTCAATGAAAAA